TGTGTGAGTCTGTGTGAGTCTGTGTGAGTGTATGAGTATGCAAGTGTGTGAGCGTGTGAGTGTGTGAGTGCGTGAGCGTGTGAGCGTGTGTGAGAGTGTCTGGGTGTGTGTGTGTGTGTGAGTGCGTGTGAGTGTGTGTGAGTGTGTGTAAGTGCGTGTGTGTGAGAGTGTGTGTGTGTGTGCGTGTGTGTGAGTGTGTGGTTGTGTGAGTGTGTGTGTGTGTGTCGGTGTGAGTCTGTGTGAGCGTGTGTGTGAGTGCGTGTGGGGGTGTGTGAGTGTGTGTGAGTGTGCGGGAGCGTGCGTGTGTGTGTGTGTGTGTGTGGGAGTGTGTGTGGGAGTGTGAGTCTGTGTGGGCGTGTGTCTGTGTGTGTGAGTGTGTGAGTGAGTGTGTGTGTGTGAGTGTGTGAGTGTGTGTGTGTGTGTTTGTGCCTGGGTGCGTGTGTGAGTGCGCGTGTGTGTGTGTGTGTGTGCGTGTGTGTTGCGTGTGTGTGTGTGTGTGTGTGTGTGTGTGTGTGCGTGCGTGCGTGTGCGTGTGCGTGTGTGTGTGTGTGCGTGTGTGTGCGTGTGTGTGTACGTGTGTGCGTGTGCTTGTGCGTGTGCGTGTGCGTGCGTGTTGTGTGTGTGTGTTGTGTGTGTGTTGTGTGCTGTGCTTTGCGTGTGTTGTGTGTTGTGTGTGGTGTGGGTTGGCTGTGTTGTGCGTGGTGTGTGTGGTGTGTGTTGTGTGTTGTGTGTGTTGTGTGTGTGTTGTGTGTGGTGTTTGTGGTGTGTGTTGTGTGTTGTGTGTTGTGTGTGGTGTGGGTTGGCTGTGTTGTGCGTGGTGTGTGTGGTGTGTGTTGTGTGTTGTGTGTGTGTTGTGTGTGTTGTGTGTGGTGTTTGTGGTGTTTGTGGTGTGTGGGTGTGTGTTGTGTGTTGTGTGTTGTGTGTGTCTGTGTGTCTGTGTGTCTGTGTGTGCGTGCGTGTGTGTCCGCGTGTGTCCGTGCGTGCGTGCCTGCTTGCGTGCGTGCGTGCGTGCGTGTGTGTGTGACCAGCAGCTTCAACGCTCGGCCGTCTAGACGCGCGTGCGCGCCCGCTTCTTTGACCATTCGACGCCCTGTCGTTGCGCGCGGGGACACGACGCCAAACATTGTCTGTGTGTGCGTGTCTCATTGTAGTGGTGGCGTATCCTTCACTGCGCGTTACGGCAAAGTTCGTTCGGAATTGGCACTTCCATCTGCTGACCGCGCCTGAGGTTCCTCTGCGCTGCGAACTTAAAAAGAGAATGTGTGTGTATGTGTTCTTGGCGCGGGCCTCTGGAGGCATACACATCCCCCTCCTCCTCGACGTCCTCTCGATCCTCCGCGGGGCGGCCCACTGGTTCCCCCCTGCCGTCCCCGGGCAGTCGAAGATGAAGTAGTCGTCGTCGATGGCGTCGCTGAGCTGTTCTTCCAGCCAGGACATGTTGTCTGTGACGTACTCCATCGCATACACCAGGCCACCTCCCCCCAGGCACAGAAAAGAAGGGGGAGGGGAGAAAGGGGACAGGGGCAGAGGCAAGCTAGGTGCGCTCGCGCCATATCTCGAACAGCAACCCTCTCACCCATCCCTTCCCGTTGCGCTGTTGTGTCTGAATCCGCCGACGCGTGTACAGGGGGATCGGGAGCGGGGGGAAGAGAAGAATGATTCGAAAGATGGTGGAGGGAACGTTGGAGAGTGGAGGAGGCCACTCAGGTCCAGCCCCCATTGGTTCAGAAACTCGAAATCGGATCGGCGGAAACATAACCAAACACACACACACACACAAACACTGACTTTTGGTGCGCATGCGGCTGGGGCAGGTCGCCGCTCGATTGATCAACAAGATGAATCAGCGAGCAAAACAGCAAACGAGAGTAAGACAAGGAACAACAGGCTTCCTCGGCGTGCATAGGCAGGGAAACAACGGCGATCGCCAGAAACGGCAACCTTACTAAATGCACACGGACCTGGAGTTCACGTTCGGGATGCACTGACCCGGGTCAATGCAAACCCGGGTCAATCAGGCTCTGCAGGATCTTGCAAGATCCGGCAAGATTCTGAAGAGTCCTGCAGGGTCCTGCACCCAAACCTGGGTCAATGCACCCGTGGCTCTGCAGGATCCTGCAACATCTGGCGCTCTGGCTGACCCCCGTTGGCATTGATCCCCCGTCTCTTGAGCCCCGAACACGCACTCTCACACACACCTTCCAGCGGCGAGACACCAGGACATGCAAACTGAGGAGGGACGGTAAGGGGCGGGACGGCCAGATGCCAAGCCAACTGATCGGATTCGCCTCCCGGAAGGGGCAGGCTGCGGAAGCTGCTGCTGGGGGAGTTAGAGGATAATGTCTCTAGTGGTCTGGCGGCTTTAGCCATCCAGGTTGGGAACATCACGCACGCACGCACACACGATGTTGACCTAGCAGGGTCGCCGACTTCAACCAAGGGCCAACATGTTATGGACCTGAGGGCCGCATTGAGCGAGGAAGATGCAACAGCCCCGCAACTACTCCAACCTATTGAATTAATGTCCAGCTGAGTACTCCCATCCGATCAGTTTGTTCGCGGAGATGTTGTTAAGGAGGAGGAGGAGGAGGAGGAGGAGCAGCAGCAGCAGGAGGAGGAGGAGGAGGAAGAGGAGAGGCGGGAGGAAAAGGAGGACTGCAGCGCATCCCATCATACGCTACCCCCCCCCCACACCATTTGGCCCGAGGTCCATCTCCTCCATGACATCCTCCACGGACACCAGGTCTCGGACGTCTAAGTAACACTCCTGCCCTCTTCTGCCTCTGGCGCAAGGGGGCACCATGGGGATGCGGCAAACAGAGCTCGGCGAAGCGGGGGTTGGGAGAATCCGGGCACACACTAGAACGGAGCAGGGGTCATTTGATTGCGCGCTGGCGCCAGTTCCATGGAACAGGGCAGAAACACCCGAACTATGAGGCCAGTGCCACCTGATCCTGCACGGAAATGGGACCCGCCGGCAATCAGCGCGCTCTGATCCACCCTTGCGCTTCTGTGAGGGGTGCAGGTCGGGCGGAAAGGCGACAGAATGCGCTCCAGGGACGGAAGCGCCAGAGGAGGGGAAGGAGGGAAGCAGGATGGCTGGCCGCACCCAGGGAAGCGCGAGATACTGAGTCGCCAGGCGAGCGCTCCCTCCTCGAACCTCGAGCTCCTGCGCTTCCTCCTCCTCCTCCTCCTCATCCTCATGCCTCAACATCATCAACCTCCTCCTCACCATCATATCCAACCCTCGCTCTCTCCTCTAATTTCCACTCACCTGATCCGCCGCATGCTTAATTATACACTTATTTTTCCCCCCCCCCACCTCCCCCTCCTCCCCCCTCCTCCATGCTCCTCCTCTTCGCTTCCATCCCACCTCCCCCTCCTCCCCCTCCTCATCATCACTCCAGCATCCTACTCTTTCTCGTTTCGCGTCTGCCCGTTCACATCCCCCTCATCCTCCACTCCGCCTCCCTCTCATCCTCCTCCTCCGCCTCCTCCTCCGGCTCCCTTTCCTCCCTTTCCTCCCTTTCCTCCCTTTCCTCCTCCTCCTCCTCCTCCTCCTCCTCCTCCTCCTCCTCCTCCTCCTCCTCCTCCTCCTCCTCCTCCCTCCTCCTCCCCTCCCTCTCCCTCCCCGCCTGGTCTCGTCGCTTCGCCCCCCCCCCCGCTTCAAGGAGACGTCCGAAGACCCCACGCAGAAGAGCAGACGGCATACTTCCACGAGCCCGCCCTCGCTGGACCCCCTGGAAGCTAGCCGGACACCCAGCGCCCTCGGGATCGGGACGGGAAGGCCCTCGCCAAGACGCCCTGCTCAAGATGCCCGGATCGAGACGCCACGGGCACGACCGCTTCGGCTTCCAGAGGCGCGGTGTGCCAGGCCACCCGCGCCACCACCCTGGGCTCCGCGCGCCCACCTCTCGCGCCTCCGCGCGCCGCCGCGCCTGCGCACAGCCCCCCTCTGCTGAGGCACTAAGAGGGCCCCTCGCGCTTTTCTGGGAGGGGGCCCGAGTCAGGAGGGCCAGACGCGCCAGCGATAGGGGGTCTCTCTCTGCAGAGGCATCCACCCCCAAACCGCCCAGAAACAGGATGCCTACTGCGAAGGACGGGGATCCAAGTTGGACCACGTCTTCATTCTGCTATCAGGGTTCGGGGTCCCCCCCCCCCACAAGGCACGTCGGGAGCTGGCCGCAGACGCCTTCCGCGGCCGCGGGGCGCCCAGCTCGTCTGACCCGAGCGGCGACGCAAGCACAGACGGTGTGCGGCAGGGCCGCGGAGGAGACCGGGGGACTGCCCGGGCACGCTCCGGTCGGGAACTCCTGCTTCGCGCTGGGCAAGGGCGTGGCCAAGTCGGCGGGCAAGAATAATAATAATAATAATAATAAGAAGAAGAGAAAAGTGAAAGACAAGAAGAAGAAGAAACTCTCTCTCGCTCTCTCTCTCTCTCTCTCTCCGCGCGTCGCGGCCGGCGGCCCCGGCGAGACGCTGTGCCCTGCAGGCGGGTGGCGTGGCGCTCCGCTCCGCGCGGCGGGAGGCTGGGGGGCAGCTCGGGGCGTCGTGGACGCTCGGGGCTGCGGACGTGGATGGCGTGACGTCGGGCGTGTGGGGAGATTCCGAAGGAGTCCAAGAACAATGGGGGGGACGATTGCTCTACTCTTGCTGGCTATTGCTGCATATCTTTCGATCCTGTTGTACTCATCCTCCCAAATCCGCCTGTTATACTCATCCTCCCAAATCTGCTGCAGATTCCGAAGAAGTCCAAGAACAATGCGGGGACGATTGCTCTACTCTTGCTGGCTATTGCTGCATATCTTTCGATCCTGTTATACTCCCTGCGAAGTGCTTAAGAAATCATGGGTTAAGAAATTCATGGTCTCAGAACTTGAATAAAAAAACCCAACATTTCTATCAAAATCTTAGGATTTCCATTGAAACGTTAAGAATAATCGAGACTCTGGCCGAAAACTTAGGTTTTCTTAAGCATCGCCTAAGGTGTACTCATCCTCCAGAGGCGGGGGGAAGCTCGGGGCGTCGACGCTCGGGGCCGAGGGCGTGGGTAGCGTGCCGCGCCGAAGCGTGGTGGGCCAGAACCACCGGAGCGACACGCTGAGCCGCAGTTCCCGACCGAAGCACGGACGGGGGGGGGATCAGCAACCTCTCGAAGAGCAAGAATCAAGGGGCCCCAGAACACACACACACACACACATATATATATATATAAATATATATATATATATATATAAATATATGTATATATAAATACACACGAATAAACATATTCCATATATTTTCCCATATGTTCTGGGCTTTTGTCTTCCCCCCCACTTCCCATCTTTTCGCATATGTTCCTGGGGATGGACGATTCATTGTGTCTGTGTGTTTCTTTCCCTCCTGAAACACTTCATCACTGACTTCTTCTCCCGTGCCCTGCTCCATCCAACGCCGCCCTGGACATCCCTGGGTTCCCCCATACCGGCTAGTCGCCCGTAGGCGTCGGCTTTCTCATGCCGAGGCGCATCTTGAAGGCCCTGGCCAGGGAAGGCCCCAAGAGGCCGAAACGGGCGAACGACCTTACGGCGGGGAGCGTTCGCTGCGCGTGTCCCAGCGGCGACCTGGGCGACACGCCATGCCCTGCAGGCGGATAGCGTCCGCCCCGCGCGGCGGGAGGCTGGGAAAACCCCGGGACGTTGACGCTTTGGGACCAGGACGTGGTTAGCGTTAAGTCGGGCGTGCAGGATGATCCCGAAGTAGTCTAAAAACAATATGGGGACGATTGTTCTACTACTGTTGGCTATTGCTGCATATATCTTTCGATCATGTTATACTTATCCTCCCAAATCCGCCTGTAGGAGAACATGCCCGACATAAGGTTAGCGTGTCGCGCCGAGGCGTGGTGGGCCAAACGAGCGGCGTGACACGCTGAGCAAGCGTGTTCCCGACCGCAGGGCCCTGGCGGCGAACGGCGGCCCCCTGGCCCCTCGTAGGCAAAGGTCTCGGCCGCCGGATCCAGGTTGATCACCCTGTGGCGGCCCGGCCCCTCTCGCTCTCTCTCTTTCTCTCTCTCTTTCTCTCTCTCTCTCATTCTCTCTCCCTGCGCTCCTGCTGCCCTTCTCCGCAGCACCTCCATCGCCTGTCCTCCTCCGTATCTCCACCACACGATCACCCCCCTCCTTCCCCATAATTCCTCTCATCCTTCCTCATCCCTCCTCCTACTCCTCCGCCTCCGCCTCCTCCTTCCGCCTCCGCACGTGCCCCTTACGCGCTCAGATCTGCCATTGTGTTGATATCCCTCTCTCTTTCTTTCTATATCTCTCTCTCGTTATCGCACATTCTTTCTATACGTATGTATATATACATATATATATGTGTATATGTGTAGGTGTGTGTATATATATATATATGTATGTATGTCTCTCTCTCTCTCTCTCTTCTCTCTCTCTCTCGTTGTACATACACTATGTCGATGCCGATGCGTCTGTGAAGGAAGAAAGGGCAACGTCACCATATAATTTGAGGACGGGCGGGACTCCGCAGTGATCGTAGTGAGCAGACATGAACAGACTAATACACGTTTGCTGGCCCATTGCTGGAATCTCCAATGATGACGACGAACAACACCCCTGTCTGCGGCCGAGGCCGCGGTTCAGACTCACAAGTGACTGGCTGTAAGAACCAGCATGCCCGACGCGAACAGTAAGCCCATCACCCGCACCAGAGGCCTCATGACATTAGCACCCTCAGCGGCACCTTCAATCCGTGCGTTCGTCGAAAAATACTACAATCTCTCGAGAAATGGATCTATATACAAACATAAATATCTAAATACGTGGTTGCAGGTTGATCTCTGTATATCTACATGCGAGTGTTATACATGTACATACATAGATTTGAAAATACATGTGAGTGTGAGACTTCTCGAGTTCCCCCAAACATTGCTTGCACTTGAGGGGCGGGGGGCGGCTGTCCTCCGGCGCGATCGTCGTCGCCCGTCGCCGCCGCCCGTCGCCGCTGCTACTGGGCCTGGCTGTCGGTCGCCGCACTTGGTGTCGCCTGTCGCCGCCTGTCGCCGGAGTCCGTCACCGTTGCTACTGGGCCTGGTTGTCGGCGGCCCCGCGTGTTGTCGCCCACCGCCGTCCGTCTCCGCAGCACATCGATTGCACCACATCGCTTACACCAAATGGATTGCAACACAAAGATTGCACCACATACCTTGCACAACGTAGCTCAGATCACATAGATTGCACCACGTAAATTGCACCACATGGAGATTGCACCACATAGCTTACACCACGTAGGTACTGCACCAATTGATTGCACTACTTAGCCTGCGCTGCAAATTTTGCACCACATAAGGTATACAACATACCTCATATCATATATAGTGCACTGCATATCTTGCACCACTATAGCTGCCACCACATATACTGCACTGCGTACAGTGTACTACTATAGCTGACCCTACATAGAGTGCACTGTATATATATATATATATATATATTGCACCACTCAGCTCACATCATATAGTGTACCGCGCAGAGATTGCACTCTCTCTCTCTCTCTCTCTATGTACATCGGCTGCGCTACAAGGCTTGCACCACGTAGATCGCAAAACATGAGTTGCAATGCGTAGCTAATACCACATAAATTGCACCGCGCAGGTTGCACCACGTAGAATACGCCACCAAAATTACATTACATGTATTGTACCACCTAGTTTGAAACACATCGATTGCACCACAGAGGTCGCTAGACACTCACTGTTTGGGCTTCACAAAGACGAATACCGACATATTTGCCCGGTACGCAAAGAGTGGGTAAGGTCACGTATATCAAATCATCTATGTATGTGTGCAGGGGCTCCTGTTTTGTTGAAACCACAACGCGCGTTGTGTGGCTGGGTGGGTGGGTGGGTGCTTGCAGATATCGTAACACAGTCGTGCCAGGCCGTTGGTTCCTTGAGAGCTCTGCCCCTGTTGCTATTGTTGGTGCTAATATAACGGCAGGGCTTAGCAACTTCGATCGCCACAAGGAGCGTTGACACCGAAATGAACGCTCTCACCGCGCATGCTGATGCAGCAACCTACGCATGCGCCGCATCGCCTGTGTACATCACAATGCATGGGTGCATGGTAATGCTCCCGTGCACCGCAGCGCCTGTGTACACAACCGTTGACGCGTAGACCACAACGCCTTTGCACAACACAATTGCTGCCACACAAGCACGTCCACATGCACCACATTACAATAACAACCCGCACGACGAGTACGTACGGGTACATGGAGAATGGCAAGCCTCTCTTCAAGTCGATAGTTCTGGGCGCTGCTTCATTGGAACAGCAAGACATTTGCCTTTGTATAGTCTGCGGGGACATCATGGACACACGCGGCATGCGAGGAGGAGCTGTGAGGGGCCAGCATGCAGCATGGCCTTCAAAGTCAACCTCCAAAAAGCACACAGTTGACCTCTGTGCCCCCGCACACAGATACACGAGGAAGGCAAGATAACTGTTGGCAGCCCTGCCCCTCCTCTCCCCAGGGAGGGGGATGAGGAGTACACGAGAGGAATCCGCCGACGCCAGAGCCGACGCCAAAACCCACGACGACCCAAACGAGAACGACGCCGACCCCGCCGACGACTGGGGGGATCAAAAAGTACCAATACCGCTACTCCCCAGACCTCTCCAGGGCCCTTGGACAGGTCTGGGGAGTAGCGACATCGGTAGAACGTACCCCCAGGGTGCGTTCTACTGATCACTGGGTTCGTCCCGCGAGAGGTCCCAAGGAGTCGCGGTCCCTGGATTCTCCTCGAAATCCTGGTCAGAACGCACCCCTGGGGTAGGCTCTGACAAGGACTTCGTAGCGAATGAAAGTAAGGCGGCGATAGAAGCGCAGTGGTAGCGGTACTCCTCCCTCCTCTGAACGTCGGCCGCTCCCGACGAGAGGCGGAGGATGCCGACGCAAGCTGACGCCCAGACCGAAGCCAGCGCGGACGACGCCGACGCCGCCGCCACCGACGACGACCGCTCCCGACGAAGGGCAGAGCGGGGATCAACAGACCCGGGTCAATGCAAACTCGGGTCGGTCGGGCTTTGCGGGATCCTGCAAGGTCCTGCAGGGTCCTGCAGTGTCCTGCGCGCTAGCCCGGGTCGGAGCAGCCCTGGCCCTGCAGCATCATGCAAGATCTGCCGCCGTGGCTGACCCACGGTTGCGTTGGCCCCCGTCCCTTGATTTGGACGCTTGCCTGGAATGGGCACGGCAAAAGTGGAACAGCATGTGTTGTCCCTGACCAGCAGCGGCCGCTGCTGGGCAGGCGGCCTTCTGCCTCAAGTGGACGCAGCCCGCGACGACGCCGACAGCGAGTCCTGTTGAAAATGAACATGAGCTGCTGTTGGGCATCGCACCCGTTCCCTCCGTACCCGCTTCCACCGTGCCGGCCCGAGCCCCGAGAGGTCCCCGCGCCTGCACGACCGGCGAAGGGCGGCGCGGAAGTGCTCCTGCATCACGGCGCAGTATGCCGACTTGCCGCAGCCTGGCGGCCGCACGCGGGGGTGCCAGGCTGCAGGGTCCCCTCTCGCGCGCCGTCGCTCGCATGTCATTCGGCTTCGTGCGTGCATCCTTCGGCTTCGTGCGTGTATCCTTCGGCTTCGTGCGTGAATTATTCTGTAAGCTCAGAAGAAGAACGAACGCTATAAATAGACACTTTTGGCGCTCCGCGCGCCAAATGTTTAGGTTATGTATAGCATGTCGTGCTACTTCGGAAGACGACCCAAACGGCTCCTCGCTGGCCCTGGCTGGAAACAATGCGCACGCCCGAGCGATGCCAAGCTCGTGCCCTGTGCCCGGGCCTGGTCTGGCCTGCCGCAGCGTCGGAATGGCGGGGGCATGGGGCAGAGCGGGAGGTATTGTTGCTTGCGCGCAAGACACCACGGGTGCCACGACCACGGCGCGAATCAGAATGTCGCTACAGTGGAGGCCAGTTCACAAGAAACCTTCGGCAAGAAACCAAACCCTGAGACCCCAGGACGTCCACGGATTCTTGGTGAGGGGACGTCACGCGTTCCAACGCAAAACCATCGAAACCCAAGAAACCCAGGGCACCCTGGAGGCAAGCAGGGTGTTCCTTGGCGTGAGCCTCCACTGTATATAGGCAAGCCGGGAGCACCGCACAAGCCGACCTGGGCAGAACGGAAGATGGTCCCCAGCGTCTTGTTTCAAGGGAGTCCCTCTTCTCGCCGTCTCCGACCGCTCAGTCCGGCCAGGCGTCCAGAGGTCTGGAGAGGCGGGGGTCGTTGCGGCTGGAACCAAGTCCGGATTGGGAGCGGATCTGGCTGGCCACCGCTCACCACGCGCAGGCTGCGGTGTGCCGTGCACGGACTGGTAGGATGACCCCGGGGGCGGATCCATGTAGGTCCTGAGTTTTTCAAGAAGTCGTCCCCGGAATTCCGACCCGTTCCCCATGACCCGCATTTCGTCCCGAGTCGTTTTTTGACGGCCCAAAGGCCCGGCGAGGGTCCCCCGGGGCCGAAAATCAAGAACGGCCTCACGTCCTGATTGTGTTTACGACGCGAGCATGTCTGGGGCTGTCTCAGCTGGCGCCAGGCCCCAGGAGATGAAGCGGACTCCTCCCTCTCATCCGAGCTGCTTCGGAGTGGGCACTGGGCGCGGAAACGCGACGAAGGTCATGCCGAAGAGGGCTCTCCTCCCGGCTGCCATCCGGCTGCTGTCCCCCGCAGTGCCGGCTCACCGCTCACGATGACCGCGATCCATCCCCCTCCTCCTCCTCCTCCTCCCCCTCCCCCCCCCCCCCCCCCTCCTCCTCATCCTCCTCCTGCTCCTCCTCCTCCTCTCCTCCTCCTCCTCCTCATCATCATCATCATCATCATCATCATCATCCTTCTCCTCCTCCTTCTCCTTCTTCTCCTCCTCCTCCCCCCTCCTCCTCCCTCCTCCTTCCTCCTCCCTCCTCCTCGGTGCTCCTCGTCCTCCTCCCCTGAGGGGGAACGTTCGGGGGCGGCGCGCCCGGGGGGGGAGTGAGAAAGGGCGGGCCTTCTCAGAAGGCTCGGAATTATCCCGGCCTTTTGGGAACCGTTGTGAGCCTTCTCCGAAGGCGCACCAAAACCTTTCAGAAGCTGGGAGGGCTTCTGAGAAGTCTCGCCGCCTTCTGAGAAGACCTTCTCCTTCTCTCTTCCCCCCTTCGCTCGCCGCCGAGTTAGGTAGGAACCGGCGGGGGGGGAGGCATCGACCTATCGGGCCCCTGTCGGCGATGCGTGCGCGATCGGGCGCCACCCCCAAGCCCGTCCGACCTCGCCTGCCATCGCTCGGACGTCCTTTCCCAGTGCATGCTTCGGTTTCGTGCATGGTTTTTGAAAACATGACGCAGGAAGCTCCTCGATTGAGTCACCAAACAAGAATCCCAAATCCTTTGGGAGGGAACCTCAATCAGGAAGGCCAAGAACATGAAAGATAGTGGGTCTTTTCTGCATATGTATCGAACCAAACCGCCCAGATTTAGCCCTAGACGGGGACCTCAGTGAGGCCGCGCTTTCATCGTGTTATTAGGGTTAGGGGTTCTTTTATCCTCGATGGTTCTCGCCGAGAAGAAATGCACACGTCCGAGCGATGCCGGGCGAACGTTGCCCCTGAACGTCGCACGCGCGCGCGCGGAAGCAAGTCCTCGACGTCTGGGGCGCTCGCTGGGGCGGGGCCTGTCGGCGATGCATGGGCGATCGGGCACCCCCCCCCTCACCCCCCCCCTTACATTGCCCCTGAGCGCGGGACACCTGGGAGACACGGTCCGCCTCCGAAGAAATCCTTGGTTCGAGGCAGGCCGCGCTAACATGTCAACGCAGAATCGACGACCACCGAGCGGGGGCGTCCGCTGGTGAGCGTTTTCTTATTCGGCGTTCCGACATTGGGCGGAGGGGGCGGGGGGAGGGGGGGGGGCCCTGGCTCCAGACCTGCTCAGCGCGACTCTTTGCAAGCGTGCCCCCCATGGGGGAGACTCCAGCTGCTCGAAACAGGCGCCAAACACAGCCAAGATTTACTTCATGGGGGGAAGGGGGTGCGAAGGCCCGCGCCGATCGGCAAAACAACGAATAAGAGAACGATCACCCGGGGCCCCAAAAGTGGTACGGTAGGGATATTGGATAAGGAAGCGTTGGATAAGGAATCCAGGGTCAGGAAGCCAGTGGAACTCCCATCGCGGATTGGCAGTGGATAGTACCGCCGCCCTCATCAGATAAGGAACTCTCCAGGGTCTGAAGACTCCCGTGCACGTTCCTTACCGAACGCCCCAACCGAAGATAGCTTCAGATAGTTTCCGTTTGCGCCTGCATTCGTTTGCTCGCACCTGCGCGCGCGGGAACGCGCCATCGACGTCACGGGGCGCCTCGGGGCACTCAACGTCAAAGGGCGGGGCCCCAAGCCACGGGGGGCCTGCGGGGCCCTCCCGGCGGGTGCGCTGCCAGAGGGTGTGTCCCCAGGACTCGCATCTGTTTTGCGGATGCGGAGGCCCTCTAGATGGGGTCGGAGTACCCAGGACCCCTCGCGTTGTGAAACAAAAATCGCGACGGGAGGTTTTTCCCTATTCGCGGTCTCCAGGGGCCCTCGCTGGGCCTCAGGACCGTCAAGAAACGACTCAGGTTCAAAAACCGGTCCCTGGGAAGGGGTCTAGGTTCTTGGGAGTCACGTCATGAAAAAATCACGACGTCGGAGATCTGGGCAGATGGGATCGGAGGAACGCGCCGCATCGCCGATACATCGGCGATGCATCTGCGATGTATCGGCGATGCACCGGCGATGCATCGCCGACGCATCGGCGATGCACCGGCGCCATCGGCGTGGAGAAACACGGGCTCCACATCGAGCCGCAACGTCGATGCATCGCCAATGCGGCGCGGCCCTCTGACTCCATCTACTCGGACCCAAGCTCGGAGGCCTAGAGTTCTCAAGCCTTTGCTGCCTCTGGCGGTGTGCGTTGTGATCAGGAACTCAGCAAAGCCACAGGGAATCGCGGCATTGACAGTGCGGCTCCGCACACGTGGCACATGTCAACGAGCAAGGACACAGCAAAGCCCCCAGGAGAGCGAGGCAGTGACAATGTAGCTCAACATTGACGAGGTGGTGGCCGGGGAGCCCCCGCGACATGTCCACGATGGAAGCGAGATGGCCTCTAGAGCACCCCTCACCTCACGAGGCCCAGAAGGCCCCAGGGGCTCCAAAACTGCCAGGGCCACCGCTGGTCACACCAAGTCCCGCGGCCCCACCCCTGGTCGAAGTCGGCCAATCCCCGCGAAACGCCGACCACGACATCTCCGATTCTCTTTGAAGTGACCGAGATTGTTCGACGGGCTCCCAGGTGCGAGCCACTGTGCGTGCCTGCCTGCCTGGCTGCCCCTGCGCGCCCTCGCCGAGCACGGGTGGCAAGCGGAGCCGGGAGGGGAGGCTGGCGCGGGGGGGGCAGCAGCTCGTTCACTCCGTCTCGGGCCCCGGGGCCCTCCCGGATGGGTCCGCCAGGGGAAGCGCGAAGGGGATGGGGGGGTGGGCGGGACGGGGGGGCAGGGGGGAGGAAGGGAGAGCGGGCGCTGGCGCGGGCCCTTGCACGATCTGCGCGCAAGGGAGGAGGGGCCCAACGCCGATCCGGGGAATCGACGTACCGATTCGACGCACCGATCCAGGGAAACGCCGATCCAGGGAATCGACGCCCCCCGCGATCAAGCAGCCTCCACAGTCGAGGATCGAGGATCGACGTACCTCCAGTGGGCCCAGCGGCCTACTATTGCCCCGTGGGCGCGCCGGGGAGAGCGGGAGGAGAGAGGAGGGAGGGGGCAGGAGAGGGAGGGAAAGGACAGCAGGGCAGGGCCCTCGCTGCAATCGAGCGCATCCGATGGCTCCTCCTCCAGGGGGGAGGGGACGCACCAGGGGAAAGGTGTGCGGAAAATGAGGGGAAGAAGAAAAACCGAGAGAAGAAGGAGGACGGCCAGGAGGAGCAGCATGAGGGCCAAGAGCGGGAGGAGTAGGAGAAGGATGAGGAGGAGGGAGGAGGAGAGGAGGAGGAGGAGGAGGAGGAGGAGGAGGAGGAGGAGAAGGAAATGGGGAGGAGGAGGTAAGGGTGGAAGGAGGAGGAGGAGGAGGAGGAGGAGGAGTAGGAGGAGGAGGAGGAAGGAGGAGGAGGAGGAGGAGGAGGAGAAGGACGCGCGCATCTAGGCTGCCTCGCGTGACTTTTCCAGAGGCCAGGGGGGGCCCAAGCCGAGCCCAGAGGGGCTCAAGAAGCGCCACAGAGACCTCCAAGACAGCTCAAGAGCGCTCCAAGACGCCCAAGAGACCTCCAAGACAGCTCAAGAGCGCTTCAAGACGCCCAAGATGGCCCCAAGATGCGGCCCAAGAGGCCCCAAAGAAGCCCCAAGAGCGCTCCAAGAGGACCCCCAAGAGGGCCCAAAAAGATACAAATCATGGGTGTTCCTTGTGTATTTCGATGCGTGCCGCGTTCTCGCGTTTTCGGGCTTCGGACGCTCCAAGATGGCACAGCCCCCACGACCGCACTAAGACGGGCCAAGAGGCCGCCAAGAGGGCCTCAAGACGGTCCAAGAGGGCCCCACAACGACTCAAGAGGCGCCCAAGAGAGCCCCAAGACGGCCCCAGGCTCAAGAGGGGGAGAACGAACCGACAATTCGAGCATTCTGCCCCAACAGGCCCCCAAGAGGCCCCAATAGGCCCCGAAGAGAGCGCGAGAGGCCCCCTAGAGGCCCACCGAGGCCGTCAAGAGGCCCAAAAAAAGGCCCCACGTGGCCCCCAAACGGCACCCCAACAGCTTCAAAACTGCCTCCAAGAGGCAACCCTCAACCCAGGCACTGTGGCGAGATGGGCGGAATGCCTATATATATATATATATATATATATATATATATATATGTGTGGAGACAAAGAGAGAGAGAGAGAGAGAGGGGGAGAGAGAGAGAGAGAGAACTACAGAGAAAGAGAGAGAGAGCGAACAAACAAAAACCTGGCGACGTACCCAACCCCTGCGCAATGCGGGGCCCGAGTAGCTTGGGACACGTTATACGGAGGTGATGACGTGACATGGTCGCAGATTCGCCGGCCCAACGGGCCAGAGGCGTGCTAAGATCTCCGGTTAACAGTATTTCTAGTTCGCGCGCGTGGGGGGGCCCCTGGGGGCCCCCGGACGAAAAGTATCCTGGCCAAGTCGGTCAGGCCCCCCCAGAGCACTCCAAGGGAGGGCCATTTTTCGACACCCCTCACGAGGATCGTGGCCTCGGAGGGAGGAGCCGCAATCAACTGCCTCCGCCTCCCGCCCCAAGAGCTCCCCAAGAGCCCCTAAACAGGCCCCAGAGGCACGCAACACGCCGCCAAAAGCCTCCAAGAGGCCCCAGGAGGCCCCAAGAGGCCCCCAAGAGGCCCCCAAAAGGCCACAAGAGGCCCCAATACGGCCCCCAAGAGGCCTCAAAACTGCCTCCCAAAAGCCCCTGAGAGGCCAACCACGACAGGCCAATCAACATCCGTATGGCCTCTGACCCGCCAATTGGCAGCCACCCAACCGCACCGCATTGCCAACAATACCCCGACAAACGACAGCGGCGAGGCAATATGGGCCGGCGGAATGAGCGAAGCGATTCTAATTCTGCGAGCCGCATTCGTGAGGCTCGCAGCTTTCCAGGGATCGCGAAGTCCCGCTCAGATCTGCGTGATGCCTCACTCCGCTGGACCCGCCAGCAGCCTTCGAAAGTGGCGACGGTTTCGCAGATCGCAGCACCCCAAGGACTGCGAGGTGCCGCTCAGATCTGCGCCGTGCCTCACTCCGCTGGACCCACCAGCAGCCTTTGCAAGTGGCGACTGCTTCGCAGATCGCAGCCCCCCCAAGGACGGCGAGGTGCCGCTCAGATCTGCGCCGTGCCTCACTCCGCTGGACCCACAAGCAGCCCTCGAAAGTGGTGACAGGGACGGCGAGGTCTCGCTCAGATCCGCGTGGTGTCTCACTCCGTTGGATCCACCAGCAGCCCTCGAAAATGGCGACAGTTCGCAGGTCGCAGCCCCCCAAGGACGGCGAGGTCCCGCTCAGATCCGCGCAGTGACCCACTCCGCTGGACCCACCAGCAGTCCTCGAAAGTGGCGACTGTTTCGCAGGTCGCAGCCCCCCAGGGACGGCGAGGTCTCGCTCAGATCCGCGCGGCGCCTCGCCCCGCTGGACCCAGCAGCCCTCGAACGTGGCGGCAGTTTCGCAAATCGCAGCCCCCCCAGGAACGTCGAGATCTCGCTCAGATCCGCGCGGCGCCTCGCTCTGCTGCACCCACCAGCAGCCTCCCTCGAAAATGGCGGCAGCTTCGCAGATCGCAGCCCCCCACGAACGGCGACGTCCTGCTCAGATCCGCGCGGTGCCTCACTCCGTTGGATCCACCAGCAGCCCTCGAAAATGGCGACAGTTCGCAGGTCGCAGCCCCTCAAGGACGGCAAGGTCTCGCTCAGATCCGCGAGGTGCCTCACTCCGCTGGTCCCACCAGCCGCCCTCGAAAATGACGGCGATATCGCAGGTCGCAGCCCCCCAAGAACGGCGAGGTGCCACTAAGATCAGCGCGGTGCCTCACCCTGCTGGACCCACCTGCAACCCTCGAACGTGAGACAGTTTCGCAGACTGCAGCCCCCCAGGGACGGCGAAGTCCCGCTCAGATCAGCGCGGTGCCTCACTCTGCTAGACCAACCAGCAGCCCTCGAAGGTGGCGACTGTTTCGCAGGTCGCAGCCCCCAGGGACGGCGAGGTCTCGCTCAGATCCGCGCGGCGCCTCGCTCCGCTGGACCCACCAGCAGCCCTCGAACGTGGCGACAATTTCGCAGATCGCAGCCCCCCCCGTGACGGCGAGGTCGGCGGCAGACACCGCAGGCAAAATGCATAGACAGGATGCGCGCACGAGGCGAGAGGAGACAACAGGGAGGCGGGAGGCGGGAGGCAGGAGGCGGGAGGAGGAGGAGGAGGAGAAGAAGACGCGACCGCAGTGCTCTATTCAAAACGAATGCCCAACCAAGGAGGGCTGGGGAAAACAACAACAAAGGTAGTATTCATATCGAGCAGCTGTGGGGGAGGATGAGAAGGCAGAAAGAAAAAAAACATCAGGGGGAGGAGGAGGAAAAGGTACAGAGGAATAGGAGGAGGAGGAGAAGGAGGAGGAGGAGGAGGAGGATACTGGGAAGGGGGAGGAGGAGCTGGGATGCAAATATGACAGGTCCAAAAGCCACCAGCGACAGCGACAGCAAGAGAAGAAGGAGGAGAGGGCGGCTGGGGGTGGGGAGAGAGAAGGCAGAAACGAAAAAGAAGAACGAGAAGGAGAGGACAGAGAGCAATGGGACGAGGGGTAGGAGGAGGCGGAGGAGAAGAAGGATGGAGAGGGGGGTAGGCGTTGGGCTGCGCATGTGGCAGGACCCAGAGCCACCAACGACAGCGACCACAAGAGAAGGAGGAGGAGGAGGCCTGTGATGTCGGCATCGCGCGGGCGTCCATTCACGGGCATTTGTGGGCACCGAGCGATTTTTTTTTTTCTCTCTCTCTCTCTCTCGCAAAATGCTCCAAGATGCTCCTCGACGGCCTTCGCCGACAACAAATATGCACACGTCCGAGCGATACCAAGAGTTCTCTTGTTCCCATCCTACTTAAGGACAGCCCAAACGTAATTTCGAGCACCCCCGAAAATTGCCGAAGCAGTTGATGCCCGACATGCTGGCGAAGTGCCGCACGAGTATCTCCTCCCAGGGTCCGACACGAGAAAACCGTCTGGTTTTTCGATGCTCTCTTGGTGCTCGACATTCTTCCTGCCGGCGAAGGCTACAGTGGGGTGGAGCATCATAAACCAAGGGAGGGAGCGTGGGGCGTGCGGCATTCGGGCCGGGCGAAAGGGGGGGATTAGCAAAGGGGAGGTTTGAGAATCAGCTCACGTAGCTGATTTTCCCGGCGCCTCCCGGCGCCTGGAGGCGCCCACGTATCGAGGCATGGGCCCAGCGGCGGGGCCGAAACCAGCTGCCTGCAGCAGATTTCGTAACCCCCCCTTTCCCTATCCCCCCGTTCCGTTCGGCCCGAGGTGCCCCCAGGATTCTCGGGGGTGGCCCAGGCGGCCTCCAGGGCACCCCTCACGAGGCCCAGAGGGCCCCAGGGGCTCCAAACTGGAGCGAAGAGCTGGGGGCACCTTGGCCAGGGGCACTTCTAGCAACATCCGGGAGGGGGCGTGGGGCGTGCGGCATGGGGCGCGGGGCCGGCGCGCCCGCGGGGCCCATCACGAACTGCGCGAACTTCGGCATCGGCGCCGCCGCCGCGGGCACGGGTCGCCGCCCGAAGCCCGGGCCCCCCCCCCGCGCGCGGAGCACCGCCGCGCGGGCCTCGACCCCCCCAGCGCCCCACGCTGGCGGCGGAGAGGAGGAGGAGGAGGAGGAGGAGGAGGAGCAGCAGGAGGAAGAGGAGGAGGAGGAGGCGGAGGAGGAGGAGGAGGAGGAGGAGAAGGAGAAAAACGAGGAGGAAACCGAGAAGGAGGAGGAGGAGAAGGAGGAGGAGGAGGAGGAGGAAAACGAGGAGGAAAACGAGCAGGAAAAGGAGGAGGAGGAGCAGGAGGAGGAGGAGGAAGAGGTACCCATACAGCTGCCTCCCCCTCGTTTCTCCATCTATTGGCCTCCTGCTGCGCAGGGGGGCGCCGAGGCAAGACAAAGAAAAGAGGAGGAGGAGGAGGAGGAGGAGGAGGAGCAGCAGCAGCAGGAGGAGGAGGAGGAGGAGGAGGATGGGGGCGCTGACACTGGCCGGCCGAACGAAGTGCTTGCGCCACTGGGACCTGGATTTGACGCCCACAACACGCTGGCCTGGTCACCGGCTCGGGCGCAGGCCGTCCAGCCCGAGCTGGCGGGGCATGTCGCGCCCCTCCTGCCCATGGCTCGGCACGACGCTCCGGCGCCCGGGGGGACCGACGACGCGGCGCTCCACCCCGGCGGGCGGGGCTATGGACTCGGCACCGCCACCACGCGCCTGCAGCAGCCCTGGACTCGCCTCCACGAGCTCCGCGAGGGCTGCGCCTGGCAGGCAAGGGGGGCGCTCTCAACCTCTATGGGCACTGCCAGCCAGCACTGCCTCCAGCTGGCCCTGGCTTCTTGCCACGACGCGGCGCCGAGAGCCTGCTGGGAGCAGCGGTAAGAGGCCTGCGAGTTGCCAGGCCTGCGGCGCAGGCCCGTCGGCGAGGGGGCCCACTGGGCGACCATGAGGCGTGCCGCGACTTGGGTGCCGCTTCGCTCCGCGCTGGAGGCTCCCGCCAAGAACGCAGCGACGGTGGCGGAGGCGCGCGCAGAACTGGCGCGCCAGGGCGCCGGGCCTTCTCCCGCGGCGTTCGGCTGGCCGACGAGGCAGAAGACGATGGTTGCGACGGTGCGCAAGGCAACTCTGGCTGCCGCCGGGCAGCGAGTGCACCTGCGCAATCAGGCTGTCCTTCAGTCCGCCGGCGGGCCAGGGTCTGGGGCGTACCTGCAGTACCCCACAAAGGCAGCGTACGCGCTTGAAGACGTGGAAGGTGGGCCACTGGGGCCCGATGCCGCCTCTTGCAGCCGCGACCAGACTGCTTTCGTGACGAGCTCGGGCGGGCATCTGCAACGTGCTGCAACCACGCGGCCGCCGGGGCCTGCTGCCAGGCGTCCCTTGACGAGAAGTCGTCCGGCGCCACGGTAGGCTGGCCAAGAAGGTGTGGGGGAGGAGAAGGAGGAGGAGGAGGAGGAGGAGGAGGAGGAGGAGGAGGGGGAGGAGGAGGAGTAGGAGGAGGAGGAGGCGGCTCGGTGCAAGCGAGCATCTCGTCAGCGCCGAGCCGGCGTCACACAACCTGTGTGCCACACGCTGGCGGCGGGGGGTGGCGGAAGAGGAGGGCGAGGAAGGGGCGAGAGAAGGACCCGTGCAGACCCAGGCTGCATCGGCGATGCTGCACTCAACCCTCCTCACAAACTCCCTCTCCAGATGTCCCTGCAATCATGTATTTATACTGCTGGAAGTTTCCCACGGAAGGCAGCCGTATGAGAGCCCCCTATCCTGCCCAAACGAAGAAAACCCTGGGAGTTCAACGCCGCGAATGGTCGTGATTGCTGCGTCTTGACATTCCTGAACCGTGCCACTCCATAATTTGGAAGGAAAGGGGGGAAAGGGGAGCGGCATAAAGGAGGAGGAGGAGGAGGAGGAGGAGGAGGAGGAGGGAGGAGGGGGGAGGCGGAGGGAAAGAGAGGAGGGAGGAGGAAGAGGAGGAAGTTCAGTTGCCCCTGATTGTAGACATGTCCGCCGTTCAGGAGGAAGGTCGGTCGCTCCTTCTGTTTGCTCTTCACCTCTCGCTGTTTGTTGTCGCCCCTCCCCCCTCGGCGCTTCCTGGTGAGAGAGGGGCTCGAGGGCCACAACCCTTCGGAAAACTCGAAGCTCGAAAGAGAAGAAGGAGGAGGAGGAGGAGGAGAGGAAGGGGAGGCGGAGGAGGAGGATGAGGAGGAGGAGGAGGAGGAGAGACGAGGGAGGAGGGGGAGAAGAAGATCGGGGGTTGCTAAAGGTGCCCCCAGCTTTTCACTCCAGTTTGGAGCCCCTTGGGTCCTCTGGGCCTCGTGATGGGTGCTCTGGAGGCCCTGGGGACTCCCCGCAAATCCTGGGGGCACCTTGGGCCAGGGGCACTTCTAGCAACACCCGAGAAGGGGGAGATGGAGGGGGACGAGCTGGCTTTGCCTGGAGGGGGGGGGGCCTCGCGCAGCGAGGCACCGCGGTGTCCGACACTGCTGGCCTGGAGGCTCCGTCCTCGTGCTCGTCTTTCTCGTCCATCCTCCCTCTCGTCATGCTCATCCCCATCGCCGTGCCGCAGGTTCATGTCGTGACGACTTCGGCGTTGGCTTCGAACACGGCGTGGATCGTTCAGTCTTGAACGATCGCGGCTTTTCGATAGCGCTGATCCTTCGAGGTCGGCCGATTCAGGGCACCAGCGGCGTTCAAGCTTCAACGCCAATGCTGGGGTCGCCGCCGCGTCGACACGACACGAACTGAATTACCGTACCCCGATCATTCACTGTCTTTATTATCCTCCCTCTCAGCCGCCTTCATCGTTCCATGCTTTACCAACTACCACCACTGCAGGCCATGCTAATATCGAGCACTCGCGACAAGGCATGCGGCGCTGACGCCCAGGTGGATCCCCAGTGCGCTTATGTGTGTATGTATGCGTGCACGCGTTTCGCTGTAGACAACAGAGCGGGGAGGAGACGCGAGGAAAAACGAAGACATATGCTCGTGATTGGATTTAATGTTTGAGCAAGGACCGACCGTCCCGGTATTCCGATAGCCCTATCACACATGTTCTGAAAACGAGATAGCGTTCTCAATAATAAGAACACTACAGTTCTTAGAACATAGCAACGGTGCTCTAAAACAAGACAGTCCAGACCAGAAATGCTCTAGGAGCATGTTGTGCAAACCATACAAAATCTTAGAACTTTTCGTGCGCCGCTAGGCAAGCCAGGACGCTTCGCCACTGCTTGAGACGTTGGCATCCGCACCGCGCAGGACACCGGCGGGCATCTCCGAAGGCGCCCGTCTGCCAGAGGCCTCCGAAGATCCCCGAATGCCCGCGGGGGGCCCGTCAACGAAACGATCCTGCTCGCCTCCTTTCAGGAGGGGAAAAAGCACACAGACACAATTAATCGTCGATCCCCAAGAAAATATGGGAAAATATGGGAATTGGTCGGGAAGCCAAAAACCCAGAGAATATGATAAAATATGGGGAATCTTTTTATTGGTGTGTATTTATTTGTGTCCTTGTGCCTCTTGGTCCTTGGCCCTCCTCCTCGAGGAGCAAGAGGTGGCTTAAAGGTCCTACAAAAGAAGCGCGAACCACTCCGAGCTTTCGGAGGCCTGCGCCGATTCCTTGGGGCGGCAGGGAAGGGAAACAAGCTCCACGCGCCGCCGCTCTTTTGTCCCCGCCCTGCACTGGCACCTGCAGGGGAGAAGCGGATCCTGGTGTAGAGACGGCATCCTGGTGGAAAAAATTGATCGGCTTCCCCTTTTCCTCCTTCTCCTCCTCCTCCTTCTCTTTCTCCCCCTCCTTCTCGTCCTCCTCCTCCTCCTCCTCATCATCATCACCATCACCATCACCATCACCATCACCATCACCATCATCATCATCATCACCACCACCACCACCACCACCATCATCATCATCATCATCATCATCATCATCATCATCATCGTCATCGTCATCGTCATCGTTATCGTCATCATCATCATCATCTTCATCATCATCATCGTCCATCATCATCATCACCATCACCATCATCACCATCTCCATCACCATCACCATCACCATCACCATCACCATCACCATCATGATCATGAGCATGATCATGATCATGATCATGATCATGATCATGATCATCATCATCATCATCATCATCATCATCATCATCATCATCATCATCATCATCAGCATCATCATCATCAGCATCATCAGATCATCAGCATCAGCATCAGCATCAGATCAGCATCAGCATCACATCAGCATCAGCATCATCATCATCATCATCATCATCATCATCATCATCATCATCATCATCATCATCATCATCATCATCATCATCATCATCATCATCATCATCATCATCATCATCATCATCATCATCATCATCATCATCTCTCTTCTTCCCCTCCACCCTCCCCCCTCCTTCTCGTCATCCTCTTCGTCTTCCTTCCCCCCCTCCTTCTCCTCCTCCTGCTCCTTCTTCTCCTCTTCCTTCTTCGGGGAAGACGGGGAAAAAGTATGCACCACCTCATCCCGACAACGCCCCCGACCCTCAAAAACCCTGGGATCGAAAAAAAGACCCCGCCACTGGCAGTGTAGGTGCTCCAGCTTCCGATAGGGGACGCCCCTGCCCCGGCGCGCGCAGCGCGCCGCCGGGGGCGGCACGGGAGGCGCCGCCAGAGTGGGGCATCCCGCCCCGAGCCGAGGAAGTCGTGCGGACCGCCGAGAGGTTCGTGCGATAAGGCAAGCTCGAGTAGGGGATCTGCCACCGAAGTGGTGCACCCCCAAGATTGATGTCCTCGTGGATTCTACGAAGAATGTGAGAAATGATCTGCGAGCGTTCCACGGCGTTTTCCGTACGTCTGGGGGCAAACCAATTCTGTAGTCGATCCCCTACCCGAAAAGTGTGGCTTCGCCCTCCTCTCATATCAAATAGCTCTGGAAGGTCAAATGACGGTCATAAACTTCTGCTTCGCGTGTCGCGGCGGCGGCCCCGTCGACACACGGATAGCACGTCGCTCCGCTCCGCGGGCCAGAAGTCTCGAATAGCTGGGGACGCTGACGCTTTGGAATCGGAACGTCGTGTCGTGTCAAAGCGTGGTGGGCCAGAACTGGCGGGGCG